ACCCAGCAGCAGGGCTGGCCCCAGACGCCATTTCCTTTTGGAAACCTCAACTAATTTTCTTTTTTTTTTTTTTTTTTTTCCTGCCGTCTGGGCTGCATCGTGTTGCACAAGTCATGTTTAACAAGCGTAGTAACAGCACTGTCTCCTGCTGCCCTGCATTTCTGTGCTGGTCAACCAGCACTGAAGCACCTTCTCACTGCTAAAAGCCTGTGGAAATTGGGATGACGCTGCATCGCTTGGTCTCATCCCCAGGGACCCACTGTCACTGGGCAGTGGGGCTTGGAGCGCGCCGCAGCCCGCACCTCCCGATGGGGATGGAGGCCCCAGCACTGCTGCCAGGGGGAAGATGCCCTGGCCCAAGCCAGGCTTTAAAAAAAAAAAAAAAAACACCACCCCAAACCAAAAAGCTGGTATTACAGAATTCAAACACTGGTGAAGGTTAGAGAAACCAGATCAACAAAAAAAAACCCAACCAAAAGCCCAAACACGTTTATTTACCTGTTACTTAAGACTATGCCAAAGGTTTCTGTTTGCACTTGCTATCGGACTGGCAAGGTTAGCTGCTTTACAGCCCGGGGATGATTTAGGTACGGTCTGTACTGTGCGTGCTGCCGCCCGGTGACTGCTGCGGCTGAACAGGTCCCAGCCAAATTATTTGCCTGCTGAGACTGTCTATGCCTCTTCCTGCCAGAGGATTTGGCCTTTAACCCCCCCCGCCCCAAGACAGACCCATTTCTCACACAAAACTTTGTGTTGCAACTTGGAGCTCGGTACCGGTGAGCGGATCGGCCCCCAGCTCGTGCCTCTGAAACACTGGGTTTGAGCAACTGGCCGGCAAGCCACGGGAGAGGGGTTAGCCTTGCCCCCGCTTCAAGGAGAGGCAGGATCAAACGGCGAGGAGCCCGCAGCAAACCACTGGAGGTGCGGAATTAAAGCAGCCAACGTTCCTGCACGATAAACCGCGGCCTTCCCTAGCAAGCCGTCAGGAGGGTCTGTGCTCTGACAAGGCCTCCCAAAGGGGCAGCAGGAGCGAGCAAGGATGGAAAAGTCCTTGGAAAAGTGGGAATTATGCTCCAGCTGCAGGAACCATCCTCGGGGGGGGCAATTACAAATAACCCCTTGTGCCTCTTCAAATCGCTCCCTTAAGCCTGCGGCAACGCGTTATGGGCACAGGGTAAAGGCAAGATCCAGGCAGCACGCAAACAGCCAGGATTTTGGAGAAACACGGCAAGAGATCAGCACTCGGCTGGTGACTGGAGGATGCCGCCGGCATCTGCCACACTCAAGGGTTCGTTCCTGCGCTTTGAGGATACCTTTACGCCAGCTCCATTAAAACTGATTAAGACGGTATGCTTCAGCCGCCTGCACTGGACCTTTCCCAAGTAGGAAGCACCCTGAACGAAGGAGGAGACGCAGGACAAGCTGCGTTACCACAGCAGCCTGGCACTTCTTGGTGTAACAGCTACTGAGAGGGGCTGGGAGAGCTTCAGTCAGAGCAGGCACCAAAACCAAACTGAACAGCCGGGGAACTTCACCCGGTGCATGCGCGACTTAAACCTGCCGAGAAACCAGCTTCCAGTAAGTCACATTTTATCTATCCACATGTTGCAGTTGAAGGCTAGGCCTTGACCTTGGGCTCTCCCAGAGACTTACGTCACTCCGTTGACTTACATCGCTGCCGTCTGCCCTGTGACTAGCGTGTCTGGTGGAATAGCGTTCCGTACCCCAGACTTTCCCATTTCCGTAGCCCAGTGTCTTCTGCTGTGCCCGATTTCCTACGCCCTTGTGTTAGAGCGATACAGCATTTACCATAGCCCTTTCCTCCTCCCCCCCCATATCAAAAAGCAAAGTAATCATTAAATTATTAAACCCCCCAACACACGTTCAGTACCTGAGGAGATGAAATTGGGTCAAACCCAGACCTCGTGCAGCCTGGTGCATGACACAACCAGCGTGCCAGAGAAAAGAACACCAGTGAGAAAGCCGTGCTTAATGGAAATCACCATCGGCGCCTGATACCGTACAACGGCTGGCTCCAGCTGTCTTTATTTTACTTTGCAGCGCATTCCGTTTTACATCTTTATCTTCCTTTCAGTGCTTACCTTCCCTCGATAGCTAGCAGAGCGGTGACACAGCGTTATCACCCCGGGGGTTTGAACAATTCCGGTTACATATTTGTCTTGAATTAGTGCACAATTTGTAGTATTACAAGAAGAAATTCATCAAGCTGTTGAAAACCTACTGACAGTAACTTTGCCAAAACACTTTTGCCGCTTACATTTTTAACCCTTTGCCTTTATCACTACGCAACGTTACATGAATTTACTACAACTGCTACCAGCACGTACAGCAGAACATTGCTAAATCATGTTCATAAACCTAAAACCCATTCTCTTCTCTTCAATTTCACAGATCAGAGCACGTGACAGAGCAAAACATCACAAAAAAATCCCCCCGCGTCTTAGAGCTACGCGTATGATGCTTCATGGCACAAGGCCACAGTGCAGCAGCGGGTCTTCCAGGGGAATAATTAAATAGCAGCAAGCCCTCGTGACGATGCAT